ATATATATATATATCTGTGTGTGTGTGTGTGAGAGAGAGAGAGAGAGAGTAGATATAGATATAAATATTTCTTACTCTATTTAGTGTTGCTTATGTGTTTAGGGCTGACCACATGGTATCAGATAAGTAGTTAGGGGCCTTATCCCTGGGGAAGACTGATTCTCCTCTCCCAGCTGTTGATAATTGTTTATGGATCTAGCGGTGAGGCCCTCTGATATTTACTCCATCTATTTTAGAATATCAACTGGTGTTAGAATTGTCCTGTTCTTGTTTAGCAGGCACACTATTGAGATTCCATAGTGTTGTTTCCTTCTCATAGCTAGAAGATACAATCTCACAGATACTTCCTGGTCCTGTGGCTCTTACCATTTTTATTTATTCTCCTCCCTGATGTTTCCATAGTCTTAGGTGTAGGAATTGTGTTAGAGATGTATCTCTTGAGACTGGAAACCACTTCATCAGTAGTTCTCAGAATTTTGACCAGCTGTGGCTTTCTGTAACTGTTTCTTTCTGGTGTAAGAGGTTTATTTGGTGAGGGGTGATAACTACTCTTATCTGTGGGCCTAAGAATATGTATTTAGAGTGTAGTTAGGAATTGTTCTGGTTTAGCTAAGTGACAGAAGTAGGTTCTCTTCTAAGATCCATGACCACACTAACCAAGGGTAGTTGGTTAGGTTTACAATACCTGATGTAATTTCCTTCCTACTGAGTGGACCTTAGTCCAACAAAACAGGTTGGTTACAGCCAAGATATAAGTGCCACTTTTGTACCTATAGAGATGTCTTACCATTGTGTCCATTGCCTTTGTCTTCTTTTTAATTCAAGAGTTCATTTAGTAACCAGAATCAATCAGAAGCTTTTGTCTATGAAGTGTTTGCTAAGCACAGCACCCCTAATTTAAAAATCCTTCTTGTCCATTACATTAAGGATATCTGAGTCCATGTGATGATTCTAGCCCACTGGAGAGAAAATTAAACTTGTCCACCATATCCTTTGTTGAAAACTTCGGTGTTTTTATTTCAAATTTTAGAAATTATACTTAGGAAAAAAACTTAGAACCACCTAAGATTTCAGCAGTAGAGATGTACATTTATTTCATAAAAGAAGATAGCCATGTGGTCATTACGCTGATGATCACATTCTCAATCTCACAAGCTATCAGAGAAATGAAAACAAAACACAGTGTAACACTACTTCACAGGGTGATGCCGATAGATTCTCAATGCCCAGTGCTGACTGGAGTATGAAGTATCTGGAACTCACACATTGCTGCTGCCATATGAAATGGTGGAAACTCCTGGAAAAACCCACCTGCCTCTTGCTAATATAGAACAATCTTAGCCTGTGCCTTTGGAATTCCACTTCTAAGTGTATGTGGAAGAGAAATGAGTGCACACACTCACAAAAGTACTTGAACAAGAACAATCACAGGAACATTTTAAGATTCTCAAAGCTGGGATCAATACACATGCCCAGACCTAGCAAGAATGATAATGAAATCGACAGATGCCCATGCTGGGAATGTCTTTGCAATGAGAGCTATCAAAGGGCAGCTACAAGAAGAAATGACAACCTACCATCTAAAGCAGCAGTGTACAGAATAATGTACAGTATGCATACCCATTTCTGTGATGGCGGAGAGCAAGATTTCACAACTCATATTGGTTATGGAAGTATCATAGTAAACTATATGAAGTATAATAAAGGGTTGGTTGTCATGAACATCAGTTTCAGAATTATATGCTTGGACTAAGTTAGAAGAGTCATGGGGTTTCTGGCACTGGGAGATGTTCCGGTTTTTGCCCTAAGTGTTGGTAAATTGGGTGTCCCTTATATAAATACTTCTTATACTATATGTTATGAATAATTCTATTCTATTTTGCAACTTTAAAATATGTACAGATCAATTCTGGCTGTGTCATGCAACAAAATTGAGTAAGTTCTTTTCTTTTGCAGTCTTGCTTATTTAATCGATGAAATTGTGATAGAAATAGCCATCTAGACAACAAGTGAAGAGTGAGTGTCATGTACAGTCAAATGACTGCTTTCTGACTCATGTGTATATGTAACCTCATCTTTCAACATCAAAGCTATTAACACCATCCAGGTAAGGAGGGGTAATGAGGGAATTACCAATACAGAGTCAGGTAAAAATATAAGGGTATTTATTAGGGAGATAGATGCCTTACAGAGCGACCTAGCCAGCTGGCAGGGCAGGAGTAAGTACAGCAAGCCGAAGATGAAAAGGAAGAAGGGAAGTTCCACATGCACACCCCTCACTCTTAAAACTTCCCTACATCACCCTGACCATGACCTTGCTGGTGTGGTCTGGCATACCTGTATGTAGCCAGCCCCTAGCAGGTATGGTTACCGGTGTCCCCTACAATGGGGCCGGGGCCTGGCATTCCCAACGCATTTAAGATGTATAGGAATGCAAGAGACACCACTTAGTTCTTGGCCTCTAGACAGGCAAAGATGCCCAGTCCACAGATCACCAGCTGAAAGTAACTCTTACGAGGGAAACACAGCATTTACTGCAGAACAAAAGCAAATGCATGTATGATAAAAAATTTCAGAGCAACCTGGTATTTGCATTAAAAAAACAGGATAATTAGTAATTAGTTTTTTAAAGTATGAGCTAGTAAATAAACAAGACTAGTTCTGGACCTTCACCCAGCACCATCCTGACCTTTACCCAATGCTACAATAGCTGTAATAGTAAGGGGAACTTAATGGTACAGCATTTGCTTAGTGTGTGCAAGGCCTCCAGGTTCATCCCCAACACAAATAATAAAATAAATTAGAGGACTTATATGGCAAAGTGCATACAAAAATAAATAAAATTTAAGATGTCCAAGAGACAAATATGAAAACCAAAGGTCTAATGTTCCTAGAAGGAAAAAAATTGTCATGTCCTTGGTATAGGCAATGGGTTTTTAATAACTCAAAGCACTATATCAGGTTTAATTCACTTAAGAAAAATGAAGATTAGACATTATTGACCCTAAACATTTTCATTTACCAATGCTACTATGAAAAAAATTGAAGGGCAAGCCACAGATTGGGACAACATTGTTAAAATTTGAAAAATTACCCATACACTGAATGTGCAATGAATGCTAAAAAAGGAATAGTATGGCCCACAGCCTGCTCTCCTACTCACGTAAGTTGTGCAGAAGTAATAGACAAAATTCTACAAGAGCCCCCAAGATCTTCTTCCATTCCTTTGCAGTCTGCGAACACACCCTTCACTCTTTGATTAATCGATGTGGCCAGGTTGATTTCAAAGGTGAGGGGAATTCAGTGGGAGGAAGAGTTCCCAGGGCTAGCTTTGAAAATGCTATAAAGCAATGGAAAATGAGGGGTAGCTCCACTGAAGTAAGACCAAAGAAAAAAGTTTCAATTCCACCATGACAAGATCTGATTGAACTTGAAAGATCCTGAGATCCAAATCAGAATGCAATGGTGACACCTTCCTTTCCAGCAGTGGGAGAGCCAGACCTTTGACCCATAGAGTACAGACTGGTGTATTTAGGTCATATTGAGTCTCTGCTGAATGGACATGTGTTATGCAGCAATAGAGCATTGCTATAATCAATTGAGCTGAATATATACTTAGAATTTGGTCATTTTACTAAATATACCTCAGTAAACATAAAATAAAAGGGAGCTAGGTAGTGGTGGCACACACCTTTAATCGCAGCTCTCGAGAGGCAGAGGCAGGCAGATCTCTGAATTCGAGACCAGCCTAGTCTACAAGAGCTAGTTCCAGGACAGCCTCCAAAGCCACAGAGAAACCCTGACTTGACCCCCCACCCAAAGAAGGGAAGAAGTCCTAATAATAGTTTGGGAAGCACTTTTGATTCTCATTAAGAATGAGATTGTGGGCCAGGGAGACGGCTAGATTGATAATCTACCTGCTGTCAATTGTGAGGACTATAGTTCAGGTGCTGAGAACCTTTGTAAATGCTGGGGAGATGTGGTGGCAGCCTGTAAGGCCAGTACTTGGCAGACAAGAGTTGGCGGAGGAGCTCTAGACTAGTCAAAAATGGTGAGCTCTGACTCAGCAATAGATCCTGTAAGTGGTAGGAGAATAATCATTAATTTTGGGGCCTCATACATATCCACACACAGGCACCCACACATGAACATCCATGTGCACATTCGTGCGCGCGCACACACACACACACACATACACACAGGGTGGGGGGTGATATGAAATCAACAATCCATAGTATGACATGTATGGATGCATGAAACTTTACAGAGGAAACGGTTCATCCACACCAGCCACCTGTATTGCAGTTTTCTTGCTGACTCCTGTTTTGTCGATGCGAAACTGCAAGGTACTCATATAGACAGTTTGTCTAATCAACATACCTGCTTCTCTCTTTAGAAGAGCATCCAAGAACTGAGGAATCAGAGCTACAAAAATGTGAGTGTTCATTGTCTTGATGATGGTGTGAGGTACAATGCATGCAGGTAGACTTTTGCCTGGCTGCGTCTCTCCACTCTTCTCACCACGGAGGGCTGGACCCTCCTCAGAGCAGGCTGTAGAACACACACTCAACACTGTCTGCACTTAGGAGTCATTCAGAGTCATTCTTCCTTTCCCTTATGACTCTGCTTCCTGTAACAGCCTTTCCTCCCACACACCTCCTCCCAGGGTTATGTTTTACTGTTCTCCAGCCATGGCAGTGTCTGAAAAGACATGGATATGTTTGTTATACACAATGGCATCTTAGACAAGGTCAGCTGACAGAATTCATGGATGTTGTCAGTGCAGCCCCATCAAGTAAGCTGCCCTATGCTGGTTCTGGGAAACTTCTGAACATCCCATGACCTCACTCCTTTTTGGTTGCTGAGTTTCTCTTTGCTGTTGATCAAGCAGTGCTTTAAAGGGATCCAAATCTCACACAGCTGTGAAACACCCTCATCTTCCAATGGATCTGTAGACCTCCCTAGGGAATGGTGTGGCTCTGAACAGCCAGCTGTAAGAGCAAACATCATTCTTTAGAGACACGTATTTTTGCTACAGATTTAAAATTTTTAAAAATTGTACAGTTTTAATCATTTATCTCCATTTATCAAAATGTAACAACCCAGTGAACCTTAAATAATCTTCATCTGTGTACCTGCTTTGACTGTAGAGAAAATGTGTATGTCGATGTCTTTGTGATTTGTGATAAGTGTGTGCACATATAAAAGAGCCTGTTGACTATGGACAAGATTTTATTAATTATTGCCCACTAAAACAATCAAAAGCCACTTTGTAGTTGTTTTACAGTATATAAGAATTCATTATGTATGTCTACATATACATACACATATATGTCTACAAGTGTTCATACATATATATGTGTGTATATTCATAGACGTGGTTTAAGTTGGGGTTATATTCCAATAAACCCACAATGAGTTAAAATCATCATGAGCTGAAAAGGTGTTGACACCCCTGACTCTTTAGCAGTGCATTCATGAGCACATGGCTGGGAAGGAGCTGCTGCTGCTCTGCAATCAAGTGTGTGATGTGAACAAGGATCACTGGCCTAGGAAGAGATTAAAATGTAGAACTGGGCTTGGTGGTGGTGGCACACACCTTTAATCCCAGCACTACTGAGGCGGGGCAGACAGATCTCTGAGTTTGAGAGCAGACAGGTCTACAGATTGAGTTCTATATCAGCCAAGGCTACACAGGGAAACCCTGTTTCAACCTGCTCAATTAAATAAAGAAAGAAAATAAAAACACAGAACTGGAACTATGGTCTGATTCAATGTGGATTATTTGTATAGCATTGCAAAGCCATAAACTGGGAAGAGAACTGCCCTAACTCAGGGGTTGTCTTTATATAAAATCTCAAGGAATAGACGAACGGCCTGTCAAATAAGTGACCAGCGCTTTGATTATCATCTTATTTTTAGTTATTTATGTATGAAAATCTGATCGTGGAGGTACAAATGTATTTCATGATGACTTCCTCCTTTTTTTTTCCTTTTTGAATTTAAATTAAAAGCAATCTTATTTTATATACCAATCCCAGTTCCCTCTTCCTCCAGTCCTCCCATGCCCCCCAGACTTCCACCTTCTTAAAAATACTGTTACTATATGGGGAAAAACAATGTTTAAAATCCAAGTAAATAGTATTTGATTCAATCAATATATAAAATAATGGAAATAATTAAAGGAAGTGAACTTCAAATATAATTATTTAGAAGTTCTTATAGGTTGATGTAGGTAGAGTTCAGGGTGTTTTACCTGTAGTTATAATAACCAGCTCTGTATCCAGTGAAGACTGGTAAATTACCAGAGAGAGTAAAGTCAGCATAGAGCCTCCTTCCTGTGCAATTCCCAGATGCAACTTGGGAGGAAGGTGATTGCTGATGAGCCTGCCTTACTTCCTACACCACAGGTCTTTGAGTAAGGCATGGACACTGAGAGACACCCCATTAGCCATGCCAAGGAAGCCCCTCCTTCCTTACATGTGTCTGAGTCGGAGATAAAGAGACTGCCATCATCATGACTCATTTATGTAATACCTCATTGATCTTTGCACTGGAAAGAATCACTCATGCATTGTTTTAAGACAATATGAGAGTTGCTCGCTGTTGGCCCGCAGACATCTTTAAAGAGCTGATTGTTCTGATAAAGCATAGCCAAGCTATACGACTTTCTCAGAACAGTGCAGGCTGTACTGAGTTCTATGAACAGATACAAACATTTTGTGTTCAGAAGTAGTTATAATACAAAAAAGGGTTAAGCAATGACTATTTGTTTTTAAAAGCTTGTATGGAAGTCAAAAGGTAGAGATAACCCCTTTTCTAACCCAGAGACTTTTTCGTGTATTGAAGAATAGATGTACTGTACAGAGCAGACATGTCAAGGCAAAAACAGGAACAGATGTGCCTGGTGGAAGACTGAGGGCCTCTACTCCTAATCTCCATGATAAAGTAGATTAATAGAGTGCTTCTGGCCGGGTCACAGAAAGGCGCAGGATGATCAGGAAGGTGCCCACCAGTGCTTTTATTGTCAAGTCCCGAATCAGGACCATAGAGAGGCTTGCCTCCTAACCCCAGAACTCAAAGGGAATTTTTCCACAACATCTTGGGGAGAAAAATCAGTTAAGTTTTTTAATTTAAATATTTGAAATTAGTACTAAATAGTAAAATCAATTATTAGCAACTTTTTACATATTTAGATTATGCTTTCTAAGTCAATTACAAAAATATATTGACAAAGTGAGTGAACACACTATTTAAATACATAAAATATGGTTTATTTTTTCCAAGATAAATCCTACTTGTGATCTGGCTTCCCTCCTATACATCTAGTATATAATACACAGAGTAAAATCTATTAGCCTACTGCAAATGTATCAAATAAAATGTTAAACATATAGAGCATTTATCCTGCAGATATTTCTGGAAATAAGTAGGAAAAAATAGACTCAATACAGCAGAAGTTTATTGCTCAAACACATAAATCCATTCATCACATGACGAGCAGAGCATGCCCTCTCACTTTCAAGTTCACTTCATCCTATTGTTTGAACTAAATAAAACTCAGCTTCAGTTTTTTTAATTTCTTTAAATGAGAGTAATACTACCCCCTCTAAAGAATATTGTACAGATTAGTATACTGTGGTTTAAGCAATCATCTTTGGGTTTCAAAACTCAAGTTCAAGTAAACGAAAGTTTCAAAAACCTAGTTCAATTTCAATATGACAGTTCACAAACCATTTATTCATGTAGAAGAGTATCAGGCATGGGCAATTGAAGTTTTTTTTTATTATATATCAGTATTTTGGAAGCAAAATTGTTCATCCTATTTTTGTTTATTCACGTTTTTATGTGCATAAGTATGTGTGTTTTGCCTGCATGCATGTCGTGTGGGATCTTCTGGATGTTGAAGATGGTTGTGAGGAGTGGATTCCCTTTGGTGCTGGTAATCAAAAAAGGGACTTCAGGGTGAGCAGCATTTGATGCTCTTAAGCACTGAGCTGTCTCTCTTTAAATAAGGAGATTTTTGTTGTCGTCCTCTTCATAACGAAGAAAGTATTTCATAAGGGGTTCACACAGGACCATAGTATCATGTTGTTATTTATAAACAAACTGAGAAATATAGGGGATTCTTCATTCTAAATTCTGAATGTTGAAGAAGGAAGAACATAAGGTTGGGTTAAGTGGGAATGAGAAAGTGTCCTTCAATTTGATGAAATGAAAATTCTAAAGAGTATCGTACAGGGTTGCATGGCACACACAATCCCACTTTGTGACTCTTGTGCATTTCTCAATCTGAGACTGCCTGGGGTTGTCCAAAGGAGAAGGCAAAAAACAAAACAAACAAACAAACAAAACCAAAACCAAAATTAATCTGTTTCTGAACAGTCAACTAGCCTGCCCTTGAAATGGCTATGGATCAAGAACCTAAAAAGTATCTGTGGATACTGATGTAAGGAATTTGGCTTCCTTACATCATTTTAATATTGACTACCTAATTTATAAATTATCAAATATATAAAGGAAATAGATCTCAGATTAAGGATGTGAAATGACAGTGTCAGCACTAACATGAAAATAAGTGACTACATTGGCTCCAAGTCATCACTGTCTCTCCTTTCCAAGACCAGTGATTCTCCTGTGCCCTGGAGTCTCCCATTGTCTGCCTGCTACCCATTGTCCTTTTTCTGCTTGGCATTAATTTGTTCCCTTTGAACTGTATCCTTACCATACACACTAAGCCTACTCAAATACCTTGGCATATCCAGGTAGCCAGGGAGTTTTTTCTGCTCTTTCTTGAGGTAGGCAAATTAGAAGTAGGCTAAAGGCAGCTTCTTTGGAGATGACATTTCCCAACCTTTGAGTGGCAAGGGCAGAAAGAACAGCCTCAAGCTTTAGAGCTCTTTGTCCTGGGGACTAGCGGCAGCTCCCACCTCTTGAGCTAAAGCTTTACAGCCACAGTCACTCAGGTCAGATCTACCTCTGAGCTCTGCTGCCTGTAACCTAAGTACTCAGCTTGTAGAGTCTTCAGATCCCAGAAGCAGGTGACATTAACTTGCACTGACTAGTGTTACACGTGTGCAGTGAACTCTGGGTGTCAGATCACTCAGTTCCAGTAGCAGCTCTTGCTAGTGGCAGCTGGATGAGGACTACTGTTATGTAGCTCTCAAGCCATTTACGTAGCAGACCTCAGTCCTAAAGGCTTGATTTAATTCTTGCTTTAATTCTCCTAGCATCTCTGGTTCCATAAAGACTTTGCCTTTGCACACTAAGTTCACTGCCACCTTTCAGTTTCTTGGCAAGTGTGTTGACCTTGGAAACATTTGGACAACTCTGGCTTCAGTCTCTCATTCAGCCTCACTTGGCTTCTGCTCCTAGTGTTGCCTGTCACTGATGCAGATGGCAAAAGGACACTGTCACTACTGTTCCTTCTTAGAATAGTCCATAGATTAGACCAGACCTGGAGGCCATTGAGGAGAAAGTCTTTACTGAAGTATATTGTTGCAAAACCAGAGACTTCAGGTAAAAGAGCTCCTTTAGACCACCTGAGATGTGTGTGTGTGGTGACCTGATATTGGGCAATTACAATGAGCACCCAACACAACCTCATTTAAGGGCCAATCAAGTGTTGCATAGGGATCCATTGCACAACTCTTTATGTAAATGAAGGTTTTTTAATCTACAAAAATCACAAGCCTTAAATGAATCACCAAGGGACATACAGCCTCTAAACTGGGTGAAAAATTATTTCAGGGTCATCTTGAGGTAAGTGGGACTTATCTTTCCTTAAAGGCCAGTCAGGACTGCTTGAATGTCTTTCAAGTCATTGCAGCATGTTTCCAAAGAAATGGACTGCTAGGAGAACAGGCCCTGTGGCCAGTCAGTGGTTCTTTGCCTGACTCTTCCAAACCCAGGCATGGCAAGTGTAAGGGAAGGGCTATCCAACAACATAATCTTGACTCAGAAAGTATTAAAAGGATGCTACAATAAACAATGAAGAAAAGCTAACACAGAACTAACCATTCAGACATTAATGGTATGTCACAGTATGTCCTAGTGCTTAACAAAGTTTAATTCTTGCCTCTGTTCCCCAGGGAGAGGTGTGGTCCTCTAGCATATATCATCTTGATCTATAGTCAGCACATAATCAAGAACCTGTATCACTCTCATGATGGTGTCTTTTCTTGTTTCGGTTCCAAACAAAATTAAATGTTGGGGATCCTCAAAACTCAACTCAAGCTTCTTCACTTCATATGATCCTCATAATCACTCACTAAGTAATCACATCAACTACTATAGCTTCAACAACCATCTTTGTTAACCAAGTTCTGTCACTACTAAAAATACCAAGAAAATTGACTGGCAGAAAAAAATTCTTTTTTGGGGGGGTTAGGGTTAGGGTTAGGGTTAAGTTAGGGTTAGGCTTTGTGTCATAGTTTGTGTGGTGCCAGTCTACCACTGGGAAGACCTTTTGTTGGGAACATGTGACAGTGGAGGACATCAGGGTGAGAGTATATAGAAAATCAAACTTGCCACATATGACCAGGGAGAAAAATATTGAGGAACCCAGGACCTCCAATTCCCACCAAGGACATATCTCCAAAGTGGGGAAGACCTCCCAGTAGGTCTCAACTTTCACAGTTTCCATCATGTTCCAAGATAGAGGCCAAGTATTTGACTCAGTGGGCCTCTGGAGCCATTCAGTATTCACAGTATAGCACCACCTATGCATGTAAAACTCTTACACAAATAAATCCACAAATTCTCTCTACTGAGCTCTGGAATCATCATACTTATGATTGTTCATTGAACAATAGATGCCATGCTGCATTCCATTCTGTGTCATTGGTTTAGTAACCATGTGTTCTGACATCTCTTTCCTTACATCCTGTACTCAGTCTTTCATTATTTCACCATGTGCTTTATAAACAAGGGTCAAATAAATTCATTATGAACTAATGAACTAATACCCACTTTGATCTCCATAAAATAGTTTGATTTGTTATTATTCCAAAGTTTGTGAAATGATATTCTGATGTCTTGCATCCCTCAAACCCTTAGTCTAAAATTCAGAAAACATTTTCTGATACTTGTAAAAGAAGAAAGAACAACCACATGATTTGGTTTACAATTCTCTTCCCAGGCTCCTGTCATAGCCCAGGTCTTCCTCTTTCCCTAAAAGCAGAATCTTTTCTGTCCCAAGGACTTGCACAGGCTATAAAATCTGCCCATATCTACCCAAGAGTTCTGTGAAGGTATTGCTTCTTAACTGAAACATTATCTCCTGAAGGGAAAAGGGAGGCTTATGAGACTCAGGAAGTGAACAAACCTCAAGATGTTCAAGAAGCTCCTGAAAATAACAAGATTTTCTAAGAACATATCCACAGCTATAGAAGCAGGCACCTGTGCAGGAAAGATAACCAAGTTGACTGCAAGTTGTGCAGAGAGTTCCAGGGATGGAGTTTTTGTGAGCTATTACCCACACTGTAGTGTGCTTGCCAGTGATTTAGCCACCTTTGACTGACCCATGTTCCTGTACGAAACTCCAATAAATTCACTGGTTTACCAAGTTAGGCTTGAATAGAATAATTTCTTTGACCTGTCATCAATGCCTTATCTTGGAATGAAGGCATTGGAAATTCACAAAACACAACTGGTACAGGGCTAACAGAACCAAAGATGAGCTGAGGATAAGTAATTGCATTCCTCCTGCTATGGATGATGAGACATGCCACTAAGGCTGATCTGCAGGGACAAACCCAACATGGCTACCTCTTTTCATGTGGTACAAGACTGTGTACTCCTTTCCTTAGTGGTGGTTGCATGTCCTAAAGATGGGTGACCAAGTAGACACCCAAGGCCAATCTGTCTGAGAACAGAGCATCTAAGAAGGGAAATCTAGGGTAACTGTCTTCTTCTACATGATATGGGTGACATGACTCCTTGATGAAGGGGGACTACCATGCAAGTAAGAATATGAACCCCAAATGGCTGAGGAGCTGGAGAATATGTTACAGTCCCTGAACGTAACACGTATGGGATGGGATTGTAGGCAGGCTGTGGTGGCAGTTGTGTGGCCTTTGTTGTGGGTAATAAGACATGCAACTGAGGCTTGGCTCTGTTCCCAGAAATAAATTGCCTGCCTGCATAAGGGAGGAATTACAACGGGAAAAGGACATACAGATGCTGTTTAGTGCATTAGCCTCTGATTTGGCAAGAAACATGGAAAAACAGGAGGATGAGATGGAAGCCCTGGCTTGCTGTTTTCTTACAGTTGGCAGTGCATAAGGGAAAGAGAGTGAAAATTAGATTTGTGCCTAAGAGCCCTTCCTGGGATCCAAAACCTTGGAACGCACGGGAAGAATTGGAGAGTGAAGAGGAAGAAAACTTGGTTAAGTGAAAGATGACACCCTCTCAGGCCTGACCTCTAACACAGAAAGAATTACCCATGACTCAACCTGCATTAACAACAGCCCAATATAAGAAACTATGTGAGTCAGGGAATACTCAGCAACTGAACTGCTTCACTCAGGCAAGAGTTTGAAATGAGCAATGAAACCCTCTCATGGTGTGGGCTGTGAAGCTGTGATGGGGTGGGTGGGATCAATCTGAATGCTCTACAAGTTGAAAATTGAGCACTCTAATTCCCTATACTTCACCAAGGAAGGGCTTTGTGATCTGAGGCAAACAGTGCTTAGGGGATTGCTCATATGTGCCATTAAGAGAGACATGTTTTTCCCAGCCCATGGCCCCATGAATAACAGGAACTAAATACAATAGAGAAAGGATGACCTTCCCTCAGGAGGAGTATCAGAAAGAAAAAGGTCCTGCCTGTGTTTGTGGTAAGGTTCGTGTCAAGTCAGAGTCCAGCAGAATACAGAATGGTGTACCTGAATCTTTGAAAGCATAGGTGTTCAGTCTCTTGGCTTCCTGGAGCCATATTGGACGAAGGGGAATTTGCTTCAGCCAATAACTTAATGTTCTATTGCAGTAAAAAGACACCATGACAAGGGCAACTCTTAAAAAGGAAAGCATTTAACTGGAGCTTGCTTGCAGTTTCAGAAGTTTAGTCTATTATCATCATGGCAGGAAGCATGGCAGCACACAGGCAGACATGGTGCTGGAGGAGCTGAGCGTTCTACATCCAGATCAGCAAGCATCAGGAAGAGAGCAACATTGGGCTCTCTTGGCCAAGCAACATTGGCTTGATTGTTTGAAACCTCAAAGTCCACCTGCAGTGACAAAGTTCTTCCTGTAAGGTCACACCTACTGCAGCAAGATCACATCTACTCCAGCAAGGCCACACCTCCTAATAGTGCCACTCGCTAGTGAACGAGTATTCAAATCTATGAACATATATGGGCCATTCCTATTCAAAACAACATAGCCAGCCATTAAATACACCAACACTAACTAACAAAAGTTGATGAGCAAAAAGTGTCTGGGTTATTATGAAAACTCATGGACAGGAAAAGAGCCAGGTGTGTGCTCTTCTACATCTCCTCTTCTGATGCAGATCAAGGTAGAGGGTCAATTGTAGGACATAGCAAACAATAGATGAGACATATTAACGTATTAAAGTACCTCAATAACCAACTAAGAATGCTTACCTGATTTTCCTCTTTTTTCATAAACCTAAGATCCAAAAGCTCTCTCTTCAAGGTTGGATAAAGGTAACCATGGTGAGTTTCAGGCCAGAGACAACCTGAAAGAAGAGAGGGGCAACATTATGCAAAAACTGATAACATTTTAACAGTTTACTTTGGACCCTAAACTAACCAGAGGAAGACTCAGTGATTCAGCATTGAGCAAGAAAAAGGTGCCTCAGGGATAGAGAATCATGTAAGATTTAAGTAACACTTACTAAATATGCAAATAATGGACAGAAATAGGGTTCCCAGAGCAGTTTCTATCATATGACAACTCCTTTTGCTTGAATTTAACATGTTTATGCAAGTGTTTATCATGAATACACAGTAAATATAATTTTGAATGAGAAATCGAACAAAATTATCATTAATTAGTATCACTCATATCCATAGTTCGCCATTCATAGTGGCTGCTTTAAATAATATGAAGAATTTTAATTATGTATATCTTTACCTCTTGCAAAATTTAAAGTGATAAAATGAATTGCAAATATAGTCACATTTTGTACAAATGAGTATACATATTTTAAATTTAAAATATTACCTATATAATTTTAAGTGATGCAATTAGATAAATAAGCTGTACCTAATTTTTCAATGTGCTTACTAATTCAGTTACATTCTTGGTGATAAGCATAGTATGTCTCCCTAGCTTTGTGCCATGATGAGCTATAGGTGAAATTGCTGTATCACCTTTTTTTTCTTTTTCCCTTCTCTTCTTTGCTCTTTGGCTTTGACATAACCCTGATAAGATTGCTTCATGAAAGGCTATGATGGCTTACCCTCTGTTATTCTGGAGCTCAGTTCACCCTGCAGGCTTGTGTGAAGCCTTCCAGAGAGCAATGAAGGCCACTTTCTATAAGAGCAGGAAGGTTTCATCTCTGTTTTAACAGATTATTGTGTTTGTCTCTGGCAATTTGGTTGTCCTTAAATTCATGCACAGTATTATTTGTTGGACAATGGTGAATTTCTAGCCTTCACCTTTCACATGTGATGTGAAACACTTGTCCACATAAGCAGACCCTGAAAATCACCAGGCAATGCTTGACTGGTTCTCACCACCTTGTGTATATTTATTTAGTTTGTGACTTAGTAACTGAAGAATTTAGTCACTCAAGATTTGGAGCATATGTTTGCATGCTCCCAACAATATCATTCGGGACTATGATTACTTAAAAAAAAATTACCAACTTTACTATTCATTTTAGAGGCATTCACTACTAATACTTCTTTTGATCATCTATCTCAACAAGCTTATTCTCTGCCGTTAAAGTGTTGGCTATCAAGCAGGGGTAAAAACTAACAGATTATCCTTATTTTCTCAAAGGCAAAGGAATGTATCCTCTTAAGTTCTCAGAAATAGAAGAACTTATGAATACTGTGCACTTACTACTTGACAATGTAACTATTTTATTTAGCATTTTCAATAGGCCTTGCTATAGGTCTTATTGATCTCTATTTATAGATGACAAATATAAAGCTATAATTTATGAAATGTTAAACAAAACAGCACATGGGCTTTGGGATTTAGTTCACATCACAATAATCAGCCAATGTAAGGAGCCATGAAATAGCTTTTATGAAATTCTAAGTCTCATTTCTCTGCATTAGTCATGATCCTGCAAGAGAGGGCATTATTGGTACTAGTTCTCCAGGGCTCCTTTTTTTTTGACTTTTATGTTATTGAATTCTGTATTACATGGCTTGGTTAATTGCACTAATAGATAAATAAATAAATATTGAGTAATAATCAATAATATCTACAGATTGTGGGGCTATTCATTTGTCATCAGGTACATAAGTTGCTTTCTTAAATTCTATTCAGTGGGTGAATAGCATTGAACATAGAATCTTACCAAATTCCTACCATAAAGATGTGAGAAGCGTCGTGATGGGAAACAAAACATGAAATTGTGAAAACTACAACCTGAGACTAAACGAAACATCTTCCAAATTGTGGGATTTGACGACAGCAGTATGTTTTGATGGAAATGGAACCCACACAGGAAGAACGATTACTATAGTGATTGTATAGTTGGGTGAGATAAATCCATTAGGGAAGGAAGGTTTATATGTCATTGTTAATAAACGCTGCTCTTTGGCTCAGATGATGACAGTAGGTTGCTTGGGTTTCATATGAGTTCACAAATTACTTTACTTCCTAAGATCTATACATGGAACCAGCCGAGGGAGACTGGATAGAAGACTGAGCGCAGACAGCACACATTTCTGTGTCATGCAGCACTTCACCTTTCAGACCAACTTGATGCCTAGTCATTTACCACTCAAAATTGTCTGTGTTTCACTCCATGAGGGACTGATGAAGTTTATCTTGCAGATGAAGATCCAAAGCTTGAAGAGATCAAGTAAATAAAGTTTATACAAAGAACATATGATAAAATGAGAAACTCAAAGCTAGTCTATTGAGCCTTTAAACTCCCAAGTTCACAAAACAGTCAGAATCTTCATCTTCAGCTTCGAAATATATGTCCTCCTGGTTCAAGTGCTGACTGAACATCTCCTGAAGATACTGTAACAAGCAGTATATTCATTGAATAGTTGTCTTAGTTAGGATTTCTACTGCAGTGATTAAACACCATGACTAAAGTAACTTGGAGAGGAATGGTTTACTTGGTTACATATCCTAAATCTTAGTCCATTGCGGGACGCTAAGGCAGGAATTCAAACAGGGCAGGAGGCAGAAGCTGATGCAGAGGCCTTGGAAGAGCATTGCTTACTGACTTGCCCCTCATGACTTCCTCAATTTGCTTTCTTAAAGAAACCAGGACCACCAACTCAGGAGTGACCCCACTCACAATGCACTGAGCCCACCCCCATCAGTCATTAATTAAGAAAATGCCTAGGCTTGTCTGCATACAGCCTGATCTTCTGGAGGCATTTTCTCAATTGAAGTTCCCTCCTCTCAGATGATCCCAGCTATATCAAGTTGACATAAAATTAGCCAGTACAACAGTATTTCCTTCATGTTAGTTTTGAGAGTGATTCCTATAGAACTAAAATGCAAATGTAATTACTGCTAATGATTGATATCTTGTTAGTAATAATTTTTAAGTTAGTATGCAAAGTAGTGGATTTGACTATGGAAATTTCTTCAGTATGCTGTGCACTTTGTTCTAATGCATTCTGCTCCTAGCTCCTTTAACACTCTTGTTTATCCCCTTCCTCTTGGAAAATATCTTTTCCTATATTTTCTTTTTTTGTGGGTGAGTTTTTGAGACAGGGTTTCTCTGTGGTTTTGGAGGCTGTCCTAGAACTGGCTCTTATAGACCAGGCTGGTCTCGAATTCAGAGACCCGCCTGCCTCTGCCTCCGAGTGCTGGGATTAAAGGCGTGTGGCACCAACTCCTGGCTAACTTTTCCTATATTTTCATGTCACGCATAATTCAAATTCTTGATATATTAGTTCAGTAAATTAATCCAAATGTAAAATGTTTCAAGCGCTATACAACAATTGTTCAAATCAACATCTGGATTTTGGATGAAGAAAATGAGTTTAAAATTTGTTAAAATTGAATAGGGGAAAAGAAGAAAGAAAGAAAGAAAGAAAGAAAGAAAGAAAGAAAGAAAGAAAGAAAGAAAGAAAGAAAGAGAGAGAGAGAGAGAGAGAGAAACAGGGGATGAAGAAAGGGAAGTAGAGGAGGAACAAAAGGATGGGAAAGATAGAAAAATGGAAAGAAAAAGAGAAAGTGGAAGAGAGAAAGAAGGAAGGAGAAAGAAAATTAAAGAGCAAGGAAGAATTAGAATGAGAAAAACAAAGCTCTCTTCGAAGTCAAAGTTCAAGAATCAGAGCAGGTTTTCCCTTAGACCAGTGTGTGACTGATCAAGTTTCAGGTTCTCAGCCACCAAACAATAAACTGGGCCTCAAATCCAACCAGAAGTGGTTGATTGTTCACCTAACATTTGTGTCACCATGGCACATGTACATCTTATTTGCAGGTTACTGTTGTAGGTCACAGGGTTTGTAACTGGTTGATACTGATGATTACATTTCTTGTTCGGTAGCATGCAAAGTACCTTCCAACACTATGAATACTAGTCAATAGGAATGAAGCTTGTCATTGGGCAAGCTCAATTTCTCCATATTTCATGACATATGTAAGTATTGGACTCAACAATATAGGCTTACAATCAGGTTATGGAGAGTAACCAATAGCCTTGACTGTAGCCTGTAATGCTTGGGGATTTATGGGACCCCATTGGACAATGAGATCTAATCCATCCCAGGACTGGAAGTTTTACTTGTGAACGTAAGATGTCTAGCTGAGGCATTGTCTACTCTATTATTTTGTTGCTCCATTGAATTTATACATTTATAATATATGAAATTACACATATATAGGTTTATACAATTTTGGGTTTCCATATGGTTTTTCAAAAATGTTCAAGGACCCTTCCCATATTTTCACCTTTATCCTTCCCTTCCATTCCCCTTCCCACTTAATTCTCCTCTTCTAGTTTCTTCTTTAACTTTTTATAACAACCCGTTTCTCCTTCATTGGAAGATTCCCACACCCAATCCTTTACAAGTTATTTAACTTAGACATATGTGAAACTTAAAAGCTAACCTCCACATATAGGAAGAAACATGAGATGTTTTTCCTTTGAGGACTGGGTTACCTCATCCAGGGCGATTGTTTTTGATCCATCCATTTGACTGAGATTTTCACAATTTTGTTTTAATCAATAGCTGAATAATATTTCATTGCACAAATGTACCATGTTTGCATTATCCATTCATCATTTGGTAGATGCTTATTTCCTATTTATGGTTATTATGAATTCAGCAGCAGTGAACATAGGTGAATAAGTGTCTCTATAGAAAGGCATACAGTCCTTTGCACATATGCCCAAGAACAATATTGCTGGATACTATGGTAGATTATTTTCCAGCTTCTTAAATAACCTTACTATATTTCCATAGTGACTGTACCAGTTTGCACACCCACCCACCCTTTGGAATGGCTATTCTGGAGTGTCAATCTGAGTACATCTGGAAATACTTTAAAAAAAAAAACCAAACAAACAAAAAAACAAGCATCTGGGCACAATTGTAAGGGACTTTTTCTTGATTGGATCATTTGAGATAGGAAGAGTCACCTTAAATCCAGAACATTTAAAGTAGGAAAATTGTGATGGCAATTCTTGGTTGCCAATTTGACTATATCTGGTATTAACTAAAACCCAACATTCTGGGTATACCTATGAGGCATTTTCTTAATTTAATCATTTGAAATAGGAAGACCCACATTTAGTCCAGATATTTTGAGGTGGGAAGATACACCTTTAATTCTGAGCCATACCTTCTGCAGGCAGCATACATAGAAGACATAAAGGAAGGAAGTTTCTGTTCCTTGTCTGCTTTCCCTCATTCTTGCTGTCAACTTTGTTCCTTCACTGGCATTACAGCCCGGTACTTTGAGATTCCAATACATACTAAAGACTAATTTGTTTCAGTACCTGGAGAGGTCATTGGATCCCTTAGTACTGCAGTTACAGAGCTGTGAGCCACCACGTGGTGCTGGAGATTAAACCTGAAGCTTCTGGAAGAGCAGCCAGTGTTCTTACCCACTGAACCACCTCCCCAACCCAAACATTTTCTGTTTACCTACTTAGTCTTTTAAAATTTAAAATTTGTTGGGCAAAGTGCTCCTTGATTCCTGTTTGAGCGTATTAGTATTGATTTCTTTTGACCTTTAATTCAACCAAGTGGATACATAAGAAAAGGTTTGAAACAGCAATACCAAAAACATTAACCTTCCAGATCATCTTCCTGCAATTTTAAAGTATACAAGTATCACAGATTTTGATGAAATTAGATATTCTTTCAACAGTTTTTGTTAATGGTTTGATTTTTGAATAGTTTCTTTCTCCATGTCTCCCCTTCCACTCTCAGCACCTGTGGAACTCAAGTATCCATGTGGGCTGCAGTGGCTTCATTTCCTCTGCCTGAAGTTCTGCAGACAAATCTGAACCAACTTTGATCCACATGCCAAGCTGAAATGACACAATCACACATGGAAGTTGAATTAAAAAGACTATAGGGATATCTGTGCTGGGGGAAACAGGCTCACTCACTAATTTAAGGCAAACAATGGGTATGATTCTGATTCACTTACTATTATGATGGGTATGCTTCTGAGTCAATACGTGGTTAATATAATTCAGAGTCACAATACTATGATGAGCATGACTCTGAGTCACTTAATACTATGACCATGTTATTAACTAGTTTCAGTCATACTGTACACTGAATTTGCCTACCATGCCATCACTGATTAGTGTTATTAAAATCACAAATGTTACTTTAATGCTATATTTTTAAACTCCAAAGGTATACTTAAGGTCTTGCTATTGGCTGGGATAAGGTAAGTACTTTATCTGAAAAATCATATAATGTTTACATAAGTAGGAATTTTGCAAATATTTCTTTTTCATAATATTTCTTTTCCATAATATGGCTATGATAAATTTCCTGTCTTCATTCCTTTATTCTTCCCTCATTTCTCCCATTATCAATTAGGCAAACTTCAGAGAACTTGAACAGAGCCAAAAGCTGCTGACTTTCCCATGAAGTTTAGGATTCTATGGGGAAAGTCAAAGTCCAATTGAGAGCAGCAAAAGATTGTGGTTACCTTGAGCAAACATATGAAAAACTGTTTTTGTTAGGGCTGCTACCAAGGGCATAAGTACCACAGGAATGGAAGCCTCCTGACTCCAGAAATTTTCCAACGTAATTAGCATCAAAGAATGAAAGTATCTCATTTCATGAGACATGAGAAAAATTGGCTTCAGTATAGGACGCTCAGATCCCAGCCTTTAAGAACAGAAATCAGAATTCCAAAGTGAAGAAAAGCTGAGTGCAGAAGGTCACTGAGAACCATCACAAGACCCTTGGGATTACCCTGTGGCTGGCATTTGCAGCCCACTCCTTTCCTCAGAATCAGAAGTCACTTGCCAGCATCAGCCATATTTCCAGATATGGAAAACAGTGTGGTGAAAGGACAGAGATCAACATGCTTTGTAGCCACACTAAGAAAATCCTATTTTGGATAAGAAGTTTAGTCCAGATGAAGCACTAATTACTGACCTGGACAATGGTAGTGCCTTATATCATTGGTACCAGTCACCCTGTTAATCTCTAAGTTAGGAGTTTCACAGCAGATTCATGGCATCCTCTCATCAGTATGTAAACATCAGTACTGTTATGCAGCAATTTTCTCCCAGATAAAACCTTCCATCCTGGCAGGGAGCTTATTAAGATACAAACTTTTCTAAAGAAAGGGGAAGCACTCTACATTCCATTGTGCCAGGAAACTCCTTAAAACTCAAGAAGCAAACAACTTCAAAGTCTCGGTAAGTCCCTGAAACTGCCTAGATACACTCCCTTTCCAAACATGTATAAGTTATAACTAAGAGACACCTTCAGACAAGAAAAGTTGCTTGGAAGAGGTACTCCTCACCTGTCAAGCTGCCTGCTGGCTGTATAGTGAGCTCCAAGTTTCCAGCTTTCATGAGAAAACTATGATGAACTTTTGGTGATGCAGCTGTCTTCAAGCCATTCCTGCTCCTGAAAGTAATCTCTCACCCATATTCCTAGAAGTAACAATGATAAAACTCGTTGTTTCACCAAGTTGGACTTTGGTGGTTTCCTTTCTTTAGTCTGTTGTCTATTCTCTATGTGGTTGGGAGGCTGTTTGTTTTCACACCCTAAGAAACAGTGCTGACTCTGAGTCAGGAAAGTGTGATAAGTACTATCAGAGATGATGGAGAAATACTGTCAGAGTCAGGAGCAGACAAAGCTGTGAGTCATGTATCTGGGCCAATGTCAGCAGATGCTGTTCAAATGGGAACTTCTACATGATATGGATTTCTAGAGCAGTGCATTCTTAGTTTCAAGCCACCAGACCACACTTACTATCTGATTCCCTAGGAACTTCCCCTATTGTGAAGCAAATTCAAAGTAGAAAATCCAAAAGGAAGGTGGGAAGAATAGTCGAAAGGCCTCTCAAATAGGTTGTGAACTGCTCTCACTTTGCCTTTCTGAATCCCTAAATGAAGTTCTAACAACTATGACAGTTTTCCAAACAGTGAGAAAGTTGTAATCAAGATGTTAAAATATGTCTCTAATCTTTCTAATAGAAAACCATTTTCAGTAGGGATACCAACTTACTGACCAGACATCAAAACAACCAACCAAACAAACAAACAAACAAACAAAAAAACCACCTTATGTATCTTCTAAAAATAAACACATGCTAGATGTGGATGACTGGATGGAGAGAGCTGGCTGAGTGACCTGGTCATTGATTTAGCAACCTGATAATGGATGGAGCCTCAGACCAAGTTCACTTCTTCAACAGTTTTATTTTGTTTGTTTTTTAATAGATATCTGCTAAGCAAAAGATATACTGAACTGGGTTGTGAATTGAAAGGCTAGGTTTGTTTAAGGAGCCTTTGTTGATTTCCTATTCATATGTACAAGTCTACTTGTCTCTCATCACTGTAATGCTGTCTGATCAAATATATCATTTTATGGTGTTTGTGTAAAGAATAAAAGAAAGCTTTGCTGACTGAGCTAGAGAAAGGAAAGAGAACTGAACTTCTCAAGGGAGGCCAGCAGACTCTGTTCTGAAATGGGTGGCACACCAGAAAAATGGAAGTAATGGTGGTGTACCAACTGGGCAACCTCAGAAGTGTTGGTGATCTTGACAGAAAAGCTAAATATGGCCATAATTTTTTTTTAAAGGAAGCTATTGGCCTACAAACAGTTCAGGCTCAGAGAGTGTAAGTCACAGAACAGATAAGCACCCACAAGTTCAACTGACACCCCTCTCAAGCACATTCACCCAGTGGACTCCAATTTTCAAGGTCTCAGAGACAAACCCCCAATACTTGCCTCACTTTTTCCTTGGTTTTCTCTACTGTTGTTGTTGTTGCTACAATTATATTAATTTAAAGTAGCACTTTTACTTTTTTGAAGCAAAAGTTGGTACATTTTTAGTTTTTACTTTCTTATATTTATCTAATTTTGTTTGATCTATTTTCAATTTGGGGAAAGTATTTTCTCCTTCTCTTTGTTCATTGACTTTCTGGTTTCCTTCTTTTTAGTGTGCTGTCTGTAGTATTTTGAGATTATCTTCTTTTTAAATGATTTTGTGCATTTATATTTTCCCTTATATTTGTCTAATTTTGTTTGTGATCTTTTTTCATAACTGGGAATTTCTTTTTCTCTGTGTTTTAATGTTTTCTCTTCCATTTATTTCTCCTTAATTTTTCTTTCTTTTCTGTAAATTTACTTTTTGTCTTTTTTGTCCATGTCCCATCTTTATCTTATATTTTGATATTTCCAATGTTACCCTAAATAATTTTTAACTTCCCAGCACACTCCACACTGTTCTTTCATTTTTGTTTCTTTGCAATCTGCTATGTAGTGAGATTTAGTTGACTATAAGTATACTTCAAGTGCATTATTTAGTATTGTTCATGATATAGCAATTTGTTTTCTTCCCCTGAGTAGTACTGGGCTGAGCTTTTTAGAGTATGCTTTTCACTAAGAAGATGCACAAATAAACATAGAAGATACCTCCAAACCAATCGGTTTACTAGTAACACAGAGAGAACAGAAACTCAAAAGCACAGCAATGTGACTCCATCAAAAGATTATAACTTCTCAACTGCTCAACTTAAAATATCAGGTAACTATTTCAAAAGTGTACTGACAGAAATGATCAATGACTTCAAAGAAGATATAATCAAGCAGATGAAGAAAGTAAGGAAATCCATCCAGGACTTGGAAAAGAAAGGCAACAACATAGAGGAGAAAGTCAATAAAAGAAAAGAGAAAATTAGCAAAGAAATTGAAATTTAAAAAAAAAATGCAGAAAATGACAAATTCAGTAACTCAGAGAAAACACTGCCAATAGATCAGACTAGATCAGAGAAAATATAAGGGATAAAGGGGAAGACTGAGAAAATGAAACACTTAAATGTGAATAAAGAAAAAAATAAACAAGCATGGTCATAGCTTCTTAGAACTCTGAAGAATCCAAACCTAAAATTATGGTTTTGAATTTTTTGATAAAAATCAAAGGTGTGAAAATATATTCAGTGTAAATATCGCAGAAACTTAATCAAATTTAGACAATGGAATAAGCATAAAACATAATAGGCATTTTGGACACCCAAAAGTCATAACCAGAGAAGAATTTCTCTATAGCAAATTATAGTCAACATGTAAAAACTATAAAACAGAGAAATACTCAAGTTTGTAAAAAAAAAATCACCCATACTAGGCATAGTGGTGCATACCTTTAATCCCAGCAGAAGCTGGATAATTTCTGATTTTGAGGCCAGCCTGGTCTACAGAGTGAGTTCCAGGATAACCACAGCTGAACAGAGAAACCATTGCTCTCTCTCTCTCTCTCTCTCTCTCTCTCTCCATATATATATATATATAAATATATATATATATGGATATATATATATCATAATAGAAACCATGAAAGCCAACAAAACATGCAATGGCATATTTCAAACTCTGAATGTAAGTAACTTGTATACAAAATTGCTATATCCAGCAGTTTTCTTTTAAAATTGATAGAGAAATAAGGTATTTCAATGAGTACAAACTAAACCATGTCACCACAACCAAGCCACAACTACAGAAGATAATGAAAGGAATCACAAACACAGAATTAAAAGAAAAAATTCCAACCAAGACAGTGCATGAAAGAATGTGTTTCTTTTTTTAAACAACATAATTTCTTAAGAGGAATGAATGAGCAATGTGGGGAAGCAAAAACTAAAACATACCATGTACAAACCAATAAACTGGCAAGTCCTTAATACAAAGAGAGAGGAAGAAAAGAAAACAACCCAACTAAAAGAAAATCCAAGCAAACAAAATTACAGGTGTTATCAAACCTCTCTAAATAATAACTCTAAATGTAAATTATCTCAATTCTTCTATTTAAAAGAAAAAGACTCTGATTTAATGAAAAGCAGGCTCCTAACTACCTCCAAACCACACCTTACAGGCACAGATGCACTCAGAACAAGACTGAACATATGAGAATCATTGTGGAAACCATGTAAATACAAGGAACAGGGCGTGAGGGAATGAGACTATTTAGGTAGGTGAAATGAGAGGGTAGAAGGGGAATAGTGGAGATGGACATGCTTAAACATGGAGGGAGTTAGGGGGAATTGGAAATAAAAAGGTATTTGGAGCAGGGTTAACCAAAATGAAGGGAGCTGCGAAAAAGACATATGGAAGCCTTCTAATCTCTAACACTATTTAAAGATACAAGATAAAGTTTGAAAGGAAATACCCTGCATTGCTAGATAGTGGTTCTTTTAGAAGCTGTAAGATGCTAAGAATGCAAATGCTGGGTGTGGAATACCTCCATAGATGTTGTTGGCTGGGGTGAGGGGGTGTTGATGGGGCATGTGCTGTCTGTATGCTGTGAATATATGTTTTGCTTATTGGTTTAATAGAACACTGATTAGCCAGTAGTCAGGCAGGAAGTATAGGTGGGGATATCAGATGAGGAAAATTTTGGAGAGAGGAAGCAGAAAGGAGCTGCCAGAGAGACATCATATAACTACCAGGAAGATAGGATGCTCTGGGCATTCTCTGGTAAGGTAAGGCCATGTAGACATACATAGATTAACAGTTATGGGTTAATAATTAAGAGAGAGCTATCCAGTAAGAAGCCTGAGCCATTGGCCAAACAGTTTATAATTATTATAAGTGTCTGTGTGTATATTTGGGACTGAAGGGTGGCAGGACCAGGCTGAACAGATACTCTGACTACAGGGGGTGACACCAGAGGTTTTTTCTTTCCACTTGGTTGCTGACCAGAACTAGATAAAGATAATCAGCTACTCTCTTATTGGACTTGAGGCCTGATTTACAGAAGAGATCCCATGTCTGGTACTGTAAGCCTCCTCAAAGCCCATGCTTCAAGAGGTCATAGGGCCTATGAGGGAAATTACTACTGATGGTTAGGTAAATACATATTACATCAAAGCATCTTCTAAATACCATTTTTTATGTCCTTAGACAAATGCTACTCTGAACCTTAATCAGCTTCTATTTGTAATGATGGGCTCCACGAGATACATGTAACAAATTATGCATGTCGTATCAACCATAAACAGGCCATTTATACTGCCTCCTTCAAGGCTCAGGGAACATTGTGAAATAGGGTCAAAGAATACAAGCCATAAAATAAGAAGAAAGGCAGTGAAAGCCCATTATCTAGACATGCCAGAACCAAAGAAAATATGAATGCACAAAAGCTTAGCTTACTTGAATTTGGCCTGCACAAAAAATACCCTCTCAACTGTTTGTCATGGACGGGGAGGAGCTCAAGAGATGATTGTATTATTTACTGCTGAACTATAGGCTACTACTGATGAAGTCTGCAAGAGAGAAAGTCACTATCTTCTTTTTTGTAACAACTGATGTAATCACCAAACTCCAATGCATAGTTCCAATCCCAAGGCCACACAAAAGACCCAGGTCAAACCTAGAGGTATACGAACAAAACCATGAATGTTGAGAAGAAATTAATGAAATGAAAGAGTGAGGATGGAGTTATAGTGTACCAAAGGTTGTATACGGCAGATCTAAAGCTAACAGTGTATCAAAGACTGTATATTGACAAACTCACAACAAACAGTGCCCCACAGGTTGTGTGCAAGCCTATGGCCAACAGT